TACAGAATGCCAAACTGATTTAATTCAGAAAATGAGAAAACATCCCTAAAATGTAATCAGCTGTCACTTAAAAAATGACATATAACAAGATAGGAACGTTTTACATTTTCCTTCCCCTTCTGAGAGGTCTGGAGAAAATGTCAGGTGACCCTACCAAGATGCATCTCTCTCCAAAATTATTTTTTACCTGGAAGAACAAACAGCACTCTCTGAACTTCCAATTTTATGTCCCTCCAGATAGATACAGCCACAGCCCCTGTTTGCTCAGGACACCCTAGCCTCCTCTCTTACCTCACACATTTCTCGTTGAGTGGTATCTTTGGTGTGTCCCTGCACTTCTCCAGCATCTCAGGGTGATCTGAATGCCACTTGGTGCTCTGAGCATGCCTGCAGAACCTCTGTGGCACAAGGAGCTGGGACAGAGCAGAAGGACCTGGCAGCTTGGAGACTGGCACCTAGGGACAGACACATGGGGTTGGAGTGAGCCTCTCTATCCTGCCCACAAAAAGAAGAACAAAAAAATGAGACTGGGGAACAGGGTCAGAGTGGTAAGGAGCAGAGAGCACCTCCTTGCCCCGCACAATCCACATACCAAGGAGCAACCACCCACCTTTTCAACATGATGGACCCAATGAAAAGGTCTCCATCACAGGTCTCCCCTCTCTGAGGGGTACGTATGCACTTCTGGAATATTATCGATGCCCAGATGCACTGCAGAACTTCAGGAGGTGTTGTTCTGCTCTTTCCTTGGCAGCACTTACCTCAGGTTGGTTTGACAGGGCCACATTTTAGAGTTCTGGCCAGGCTTGGGAAGAGTCATAGAAATTACATCAGCTTTTTTTTGAGTTGACAGGCTAAGTAATTTTACATTAATAGAATTCACAGCCTCCTAGAACATGTTTGAAGCAAACAAACAAAAACAACAAACATCTGTAGGTGCAGGTTACTTGCAGACCATGTTGGAATATGATACTACATGCCTACAGAGCAGCTTGTAATTGCTTCATCCAGGCCTTTCTGCAATTGTAAGCCCTGCAAGACCCCACTCTGCACTGTGCAGCAGTTGAATAGATTTCATCCATATTATCACCATAATTTTTTAAAGTTTTTCTTCCTGGTTGAATTTAGTGAGCGTCACTGCTGCTGTCAGCAGAAGGAGCCCTTCTGGCATGATCTCTGAGTGCACAGAAGCAGTAGGATGTATTTCTTCTTGCTGGGTAGCATAAACAACCTTCCATATATTCTGCATGTATCAAGAATGCTGTAAACTTTAAATTGGGCAATCTGTAATTAACTATGTTTTTAAGAGTTTGTAGGCAATTTCAGAGCAGGGCTCTACCATATTAACAGTTTCACAAGGAGGAAGCAGAACTTAAACAGAGGAAACAAACACAAACATGTTCTTTACTTGATGGCAATGAAAATCATTTGAAAAAAGTAGGATTGCAGTAAACTCGATTTTTTTTTTTTGAATGAAAGCTTCCTGTGGACATCTAATTAACTAATCAATTAATTAAATTAACCAAAACCCAAATAAACTATTCATACATGTATTTCTTAGGAAGTTATCACTAAAACCAATTACTCTACTGTTATCATATTTGTAATTTGTGTAAGTCTGTTTTTGTAGTTTACCCAGAGCAATGGTGTTTTCTGTAGTAGTCTTTTATGTAAAAATATAGAGAAAGCAGCAATGTTATGTAGACCTTGGTCAGACTTCTGGATTTGAATATAGGCACAGGAGAGCAATTATTTGCCACCAGCTGAGAGACTTCCCTACCTGCCAGCACAATGCAGGAAAAAAGAAAAACAAACAAACAAACCTATGACTATAAACAAGTACTTTTTGTTCTGGGTCATCCACAGGGAAGTTCTGTTGTTGGTAATATTTTCAATGGCTTCAGCAGGTGGAGGAACAACCACTGCTAGATTTTTGTATTGCACTGTGAGAACGTGAAATTTGACAGAATACCAGCAAGTCTCATTGTTAACAATGTGTTCTCTATACCCTTTAAATAATATAAAGGCCAAAAAGGAATTACAAAAACATATGTCCCAACCCATTTATGTCCAGGCATCTTGTGTGTTGTTTTTTTTTCATGATTTTGCAAACAAATCTCAGACAGGAGGAAACCCTGAAAACTACCTGTGCTTTAGATCTCATTAGCTTTTCCTCAAGAAATACCCAACACTTTGCGAAACCAAGAGACCTCCAAAGGCTCTGTGCACCAACAGGATGCTGGGGCAGGCTGAGATGCCCACAGAAGGCTTAGAAGAGACCTAGCAATTTCACTCTGCCTGAGAAGCGCAAAGGACAAGTGAGGCCAGTGCACATCTGGCATCACCTCCCTGGGGTCTTTCAGGCTTGTGGTGAGTAGTGGTCTGTATGCTTCCTGGAGCAAGCAGGAGGGCCTGGTTTAAAGCAGCAGTTAGTTGTAGTTGTAATATTGAATGTCTTACCCTGTAGTAGGATGCTGGCTGGCTGAACAAATACTTTGTTCAGGATTGACAACATCTCTGCATCCCAACACACCGGGGGTGTGGGCATAATGGTGAAACACAGCAGCACCCATTGATGCCTCAGCAGTCTTGGGTCAGGGGACAGACAGAAGGGCTCCTGTCTGTCTTGTTTTCCATCACCTCCTTAATGTCTTTATTGATACAGAACTTAAAATTTTGTCATGAGTTTGTATATATTTCTAAATCCTTTCTCATCTGCAGCTTAAAATGTCATGCCAACACTGGGAAACAAAACCTTTCCAATTAGGCAGAAATGCTTAACAATTATTGCACAGTATGGCTTAATACAAATCTGTTGATTGTTTAGGGATAGTACTTTGGATCATGCAGGAAACTGCACCTTATCTACAGCAAAGACAGTAAGCCAAAGGGTATCCCAAGCAGTCTTGAGTGCACATCACTAGCTGACACGTACATAGAGGGATACTGCCTCAGACCAGTGGCTGAGTGCTGGGCTTCACCCTCACATATGAAAATTATGTGATATAAATACAGTAATTACAGCTCACCCCTTTCTTCATTCAAGTAATTTCTTCTCCCTTTTACCTGGCATGGGCAAAACTTCTTGATTTTGCCAAGATTTTAAAAGTCATTCAAAGTGTTTAGCTCCCTGTACCACCGAAATCGCCCAATAGCCTAGGAAACAGATATGCTTTCCTTCCTCCTTTGACAATTTAAGGAATTAAGGTCAAGAGTATTGCCCAGTGCTACACAAGAAACTAATGCAGTATGAGGAGAGAGGGAGTAGTAGCCTTTGAGTGTCAATTCTAGCACCACAACTACCTGGGCTCTCATAGAAACATATAGAATCATAGAATGGTTTGTGATTAGAAGGAATTTTAAAGATCATCTAACTCCAACACCTCTGCCATATGCAGGGATGCTATCCACCAGATCAGGTTGGCCAAGGCTCCATCCAGCCCGGCCCTGACTGGGTCTTGATCATTTCTGGGCCTTGATCATTTCTTCTTCACCTCCTTAAACTTTACCCTACCTCAATCACGTTTTCTGTAATTGTGCTGAAAACAATTTTGCTCTCTTTTTCACATGTGTTTTATCTTCTTTCAAAGGTGGAGAAGGGAACTTGGTCAGCTCCCAGATGAGGGAGTCATCCAGACTTGGACCTGGACTGCAGGTGCTGTGGTGCAACCTGTATATGATGGCAGTGAACCCTTTGAACTCCAATAATTAAATGAATATACTTAACCAGGATAAAAAATGATTATGCTTTTTGGTTTCCAATACACATCATGAAATCAAGGAGGAATCCCCATGTCCCCCAAACAAACATGTAACATGCTTATAAACCTCCAGCTTATTTCTGGCCTTTAAAGGTAATTTAAGAAAGAACAATCCTGTCCAAACTCTCAGTAAATTAATCACAGCCCCAGAATTTGCTGACTGTCTAGTTATCCGAACATCTCTGCAATTTACCAGACCAAAGACTGTTCTCTGCTGTCTTGGCTGCTCACCATATGCAAACCTCAAAATCACATCCCTCTGAACTGCACCTCTAATAAAGAAGCTGTGCTCTCTGCTGATGATCCTGCTGCTTGTAAACAGCTCTACAAAGACAACCAACAATAATGGAAAATGCTTTTTTTTTTTTTTTTTTTTTTTTTGTCAAAACAAATCACTAACTTGATGTATTTTTGTTCCCTGGCCCCAAATATCATTCTGCAGTCCAGAATCATTACACACTCTGCAGTGATTGTTTTCATGAACAGTAATATAATCTCAAAACACTCTGACTAATATGGTTTCCTTATTCCCCAGGACCTCCCAGCATAAATTCCCTGGTGCTGAAATGGCCAAGCCCTTTCCTAGGTGAGGTACCCTACCATAGTCGATGGCTTAAAGGAATTATTGTAGAAAAATCATTAAACCATTGACCTAGTGCACAGAAACAGGGAGGGAGGCAAGCAAGATATGAAATGGTATTAGCAAGGAGACAGAGCAGTAAACAAGCATCGATACACTTCTGTGTGAGAAGACCCTTAATAGCTATAACCTGTTTGGACCCTACGTAGACCTCTTTGCCGGGCTGGGCACTGCAATGTAGAAAGCACAGCAGTGCCTTGCAAAGGATGTACCATAGGGCAACAAAGATAATATCAGGTCTCCAAAATCTAAGTTGTAAGAAAAGGTTAAGGGAGTTGAGTTATTCTCCCTGGAAAATAACAGCCAAAGATATGACCTAAAAGAAGTTTTCAAAATTATGGGAAGGTTCTGATAAAATTCTTAGTGATACTTTGGTCACAGTGGTGAGACATTCAGAAAAAGAGAAATACAAATGTTATACAACTGGGATCAAAGTAGGATTCAGAGAATGGAGCTATTTCATGCATAGATAATAAAAAATAAGTGTACTCTTCACTTCCAGGTCAACAACAAAAAACTTCATTACCCTGGAGGAAATAGAGCTATTCTAGAGTAAATCCCAAGACACACAAAAACATATTGCACAGGTGTTAAAACAATGTTTTGCTCAGCTATTAATTTCTGAAAAAAAAAAGAGCAGCAATGCAAGAGAAGCACCGAGAAGAAAAAGGTGAAAGTACAATAGAAAGGCTGGGTGGCATTTCTTCTTTCTGCCTGGGAGAACACATGTTGAAGGAAATTCCTAGATCTAGAGTTTTTCTGGGAAGGTCCAGGGCTGAACCTGTCTCAGATGAGGAGGCAGCCATTAACCTGGATTTTACTGCTCTGCATCCCCTATCTGTGCATTCATAGATGAGGAGGAGGAATTGCTAGAAGTTGCCACTTGGACAAGGAACCAATGCCATGGGGTGCAGGAATCTGTGGCCTGCAAATCCAGCAACTGACCTAGCTTCAGTGGGAAGGTGCCTGCCATTGAAATAAAGCACCTGCATTTCTCCTGCCCATGAGCTGATGTGGGGAGAGGAGGAGGAGCCTTTGTGATCCCTAAGCAGGGAGAAGTACCAGGAACCATCAATCCTGTCCGAAATGGGGGAGAAGAGAATGCATTCAGCAGGCTCTGCAGGGAGGGAAACACTTCCCTGAGCTCTGGCAGAAATGCTGGACAAGCAGCTAAATTCCCTCCCAGAAACTGCTCTGGTGACAACGCAATGCCTCCTGACTCCCTCCAGCCCACCTCTCACAATAAATGTCAGCCTGCAGCCGTATTGGGCATAATTAGCCTATGATAATAAATTACCCACATTTTCAGGAAAATATTAGAGACCATCATTATTTGGAATAGAACTGCATTCAGCTGCACAACCCTACCTAATATGATGGATGGAGCAGTCATAGCACTGAATACATTTATCTAGAATGAAGTGATTATTTCAAAGATGAACACAGTCAGAAATAAGTGCATATGAATCATATACTACTACACACTGGAGAGTATCAGAGTAGCAGAGGTTGTAGGTCAGCTGACCAGCCCATAGCTTTTAGTTGATAGATTATTTCACACGTATACCCTAGGATTTTAAAACTCAGTCTCAAAATCCCTCTGAATTTAAAAGTGATTCCATATTTTCTCTTGGAAAAAAAATACACGTGTTTTTTTTTTTTTTCCCCTCTACCTTAAAGAAGATCTTTGCTCTTATTCAGCTCCACTGTCCACCCACAGATGATACCCAAAATATCATAGGTAAGCACTTTAAGAAAATAATTTTGATAACAGCTAATTATTGTATGAAAAAGAATGTAAGCAAAGATGGACTTGCTGTAAGGACTCACTAGTGTCCAACTGAAGGAAGAGAGACAGGAGGCACTACAGCAAAAAAATTCCATCAGCTCTACAACAAAAATATGCATTCCTTTTTTCACATCTTAGTTCCCTGTATTTCTTTGGCCTTTTACAACCATTTTAGTAAAGTGATGAAAACCATTCATAATCATGGGCAAGGTTCACAACTCTGTTCTGTAACAGAATGTAAGCAGTGGCAGCATCTTGCCCTCTTTTCCATGTTCCATTAGACATCACGTTCCATTAGACATCAAGAGTACATACCTGTGTATGAAGATAAGCTTCCTGCATGGCTGCTGGCATCTCCAGAGTGCTCTGAACAAAATTAGTTGCTTCAGACAAGGTGTGTGAATATGCTGCTTTGCGTAGCTTTACCTTTCTAAAATGCAGTAGCATAATTATATCTTCTGCAGATTCCTCTGAAGCCTGAACTTGCTTTTGGATGCATGTGGAACAGTGTAGAGGCTCTTCACTCAATCTTGCAACTCAAAAGGAAAAAAAAGTGCAGTTAATTTTCAGTCATATTCCATGTTCCCATTATCACCACCCCTGGAAGACACAGCATTTTCCTCCCTTGAGTCTGACACAATCACAAAAGAAAGTTTTGCCCCCAGAAACAATGTCTAGGTTTCTGCTGATAGGGGGAGTGTAGTCAGCTTACGCAAAAAAAAAAAAAATATTTACCAACATTAATGTGACATCTCCAGCTCCGAAAAACTAAAAAGTGCATCTCTTTTACTGTCAGAGTAGGAAAATCCTACTTATCCTTTTTGGATAAGAAAAACAGAAGTAATTAAGTAATTTTTTAAAGGTGAAGTTTTCAGTTATTAGACATATTTAACATGAATTGCCACTAGATTGTGGCTTTTTTTTTTTTTTTTTTTTTTTTTAAGATTTATTGTAGTTAAGAGTATTTATTACTTCAAGAATCCTTCTTAAAATTCAGATGTCTTGTTCACCATAAATCAGAATTTTAAGCTAGTTTTTGGCTGTGATACTGGTTATGGGTACATAACCAAAAGTCAACCTCATCAGTGTAAGCATTATAATCACATAAAACTGAATGCGTGATGATATTTCTTTGGTTCAGTTAAATAAATATTTGAAAGAAATAGTATCTACATGAAGGCAAATATTTTTATTTTTTTTTGAGATTTGCCTAAAACATTAATATATTCTGAATTAAGGAGCTATTTAAAGGTAGAAATCAATGCTACCCCTATGAGAGTGTCCATCATAGCAATAGAACATTTAAAATATAAATATATATTAAACATTTGAAACATAAAATAAAAATTCAGAGAAGTTCAAATCTTTTCAGATAATTTTTGTTTTCATGTGTTCAATTTATTTAGGAAGCACTGGAGCAGGTGAAACTCTTTAGTAATGCCTGCTGAAAGAAAGAGGTATGCTAATAAATCGTAAAGCAGCCTGGATGCGTTACCCATGTGGTGAATAAAAGATGGAGTGAGAAGGGAGGAGCCTTTTATAGCTCAGTCTATCCTTCAAGAGCTGTGATGCCTGATAGAAACAATTACTTTGCATCTAATTTATCAGACTTCCAAGGATAGTCTGGTTGCTTTGTCTTTGGACAACAAATTTGCATGAAGAGCTGAGTAAGCCTTTCACGCCCTCCTGCACTGGGTTATCTACCCAAAGGAATTGCTTCATGGTGAGGGCTCAGCTCAGAAGGGGCACTGGAACAGCACCGTCTCCACCATTAACAGGAAGGAAAATCCCCTCTCCTCTGCTTCTCTCTTTTAGCAGCTGGTGACCGAGAACTTGTCAGGCAAGGTGAATGCCAGCGTGAACTGGCAATATTAGGAAAACAAGGTGACTGTTTTGTTAGTGCACTAGGTTGTCACCTGCAAGTGGTGGCAAAAGCAGGGATTCCTGGAGGCATCCTATCTTTACCCACGCTGGGAAGATGTTTCACACTTACAGCTTGTCTTTTTGCCCAGGGAGACTGAGAAAGGGAGCATCACGCCTTTCCATAGTCAAACTTGCTTCTTGATGATTTCTGGTCAGTTGAGGAGAAAATAAATTCAGTACTGAGGGGATAAAAAAGGCAGAACAGGATAAAGAATAAGAACAAGATAGGAAAGAGAAAATAGGGATTTTTTTTTTCATCTGTTCTTTTAAAGTTGATCATTTTATTTATTTATTTATTTTCTATGAAATTGATATTTTCAGTATCTGCTTTTGTCCCAGCCTGGGTGAAAATTGATATTGAAACTTATTAGTCTGGAAAATGTGAAGCACAGCAATGCCAGAAATCTCTACTGAAGTACTCTTCCATAAGATATCATGAAGCTTTGGGGATCCATAACTAAGGTACTTCTCACCCCGCACTCACAGGATGGGAGGCTGTTTGGGAGCATGAATTCCTCTCTTTTCTCTCAAAAGATTGACTCTTCCACTCATTTATGGGCTGCTTTGTATCACTGCAAGAGCATGCAAAGCTACACCACTTGGCAGTACATAGATTGAACACCTGAAGCAGGGAACATTCCTTGCTCATTTGAATTACTTTAACTACCAAAAGTTTAAATGCTGCCCTATTGGGCCAAGTACAATGGAGGCAGCAGGTCTTCATGCTCCTTCTGCCATTAGTGGAAGTGCATAACACCAGAAGGCACTATATGTTCCCCATATGCAACTTACCTAGTGCACATATACACATTTACAAACACTCACACATATGCATGTTATGATACTGAAATCATCTCCTAACTAGGGCTTGATGATTAGAAGAACGGTTGCTGTATTAGTTACACCAGTCAATGCTCCCTCTGTCACAGCAGAATTAAGTCAACATTGTTTTAAAAGTGCTCAAAATCTTCCTTCATAAACTTCACAAAATGAACTGAAATATGCAATAGAGATGTAACGATCAGCTGCTCTGCTTTTCTGATAGGAGTTTGACTCAAATCCCAAACCTCTGAAGGTATAGACAAATGGGAGACTTACTCAAATTAATTTGCTAAAAGAACAGGTAATCATGAAAATTATCCCAACATCTGATGACAGGGAAGCCCATGGTCATGCACACCCAGTCACCCACACATCCTGTCACTGAAAACAAAGGATGCATATCAGAACTGAATTGCTAGGAAACCATTGCAAAAGAGCTATTCATACATACACAGGTAAATTAATTAGCAAATAAGCAGCAGCTTATGTGGTGCAATCTTTTTTACAATCTTTCTCCAAAGCTGTTAGTACATCATGAGATTTGTCCTCCAATATTCTTGTCTAATCTTTGGCTATTGGCAAGTTAATTACTAACCAAAATTTTAAAGTGACTGCTTGGTGGGGGCTTTCCATATCTATTAAAGATTAAAAATTACATTTTAATGTTTTATACCCAGTCTCTCTTTGTACAGTGAAGGGAAGTGTGTTTTTTTTTTGTTGTTGTTGTTTTTTGTTTGTTTGTTTGTTTGTTTGTTTTTTATCTGATTTGGAAAACACGATATGCTTTCAAATATATGTTACTTACTGTATTTTACTTTAGATTGGTTTGAGTTATGGGCAAGCCAAGAAAACTGAACAGCAAAGCAGCCTTCACCCAAAGGTGAAAAGCAAAACCTTGTGTCCTTCACGTTCCCAGAGCATCCGTGTCCATATACAGCAAGCCACAGAGAAAATCTCCACCTGAACTGTATGGAAGAGGTGGAAAGCTGCCGCCAAAAGATAGGAGAGGGAAAAGTGTCTTCTGGGACCTCCTTATGACTCTAAACAATTTTCAGCTGGCAATAAGAGATCAGTGTACATGTTCAATCCTGAAAGTCAGAGGGAAAACATCGTGTCATATCTGAGTGCATATCCACATTAATCCTCCCTTTACCATCAATTTGTCAGATACCTATCTTGTAAGTGAGGTTGCAGACACCCAGGTTTGAGGTGTATTTCTCTCGATTTTGCCCAAGGGCCTTTAGAAGTAGAACAGTTCAGGCCACGAGACCTACAAAAATCATTGTGTCCAATTGTCTGACCACTTCAGGGCTAACCAAAAGTTAAAGGATATTACACTCAACAACTATTAACTGCTATAATGGCCACAATACATGACAACAACTATTTTACAAGTCTTTCCAAAAGTACTTATTAGTTTCATACAAATATTACATATACTAATACATAAAGCTTTCCCATGAAATTCTTAAAAATAATAATAAAAAATTTCCATCCCCAAATGATATTTTTTTAAACAAGATCCTTATAACAAGGTATAGCTTCTCCAAGAAAGTTGCATTTACTTTAAAATAACAATGCCATCAACAGAAAACATAACTAGGACCTTATTTTCAGAAAGTACCCTGTGAATGTCTTGACTTCTGCAAAGAATTAAACTGAACTACCAATTCATAGTCAACTGTCTACACAGAGCAAGAGAAGACCATAGGTAAAAGGCAGTCCTTCTCAAGGAGAATGGGAAAGCTGCTACCACATCAGTCTGCTGTGCAGTAACCCCTGCTCCTCAGATTCATGTTGGTCACATTTAAGGCAAAGTATTCAGGAAATAAATGAATATAGTTAAAGAAGCATTCATCAGTGACCTCAATCACAGCTTGATCCAGCTCCCAACAGCAGAGTTCCTTTTGACTCAAGATCAAACATTAAAAAGGAATGCTTTTTTTTTTTTTTCTTAAAAATGCTATATTTATTTGGTTGATAGGAATTATCAAGTTATAACTGAAGTCTTTTAAAACCACAAGAGTCCATGTGACACTTACCTTCAGCTCCTTATAGACTCCAGAATTTAAGTTTTTTTTTTTAATAGAAGCAGAGCAAAAACTAATTCACAGTCTGCTGAAACTACCAAGATCATAATTGCTTCTACTCAAATTAGTAAAGTTATCCTAGATTCACTGAAAGTTTAGTTCAGACTGAAATGCAGTTAGAGGTTTCAGGGATGGTCAAACTTTTGGGTAGACCACTACATTTTTCAGACTTCTGTTAAAGTTTGCAGGCATGCTTCATTTTCAGGTCTGGGATCAGAAAGAATGGAAAAGGGATAAGCTATAAAGTACTTTCTCCCACAGAGTGATTTTAAAATTACATCAGTGGAGAATTTAATATCAGAAAAATGTACTGAAGTCACTGACAGAAATGTGCCAATACACACCTAACAACTTCTACAACACTTTCGGTCCCTTACATATACTTCTCCAACCCATTTTGTTTTTCATTCTTCACAACACCCCAGAACTGTGAATTCCAGCCAAAGGGTCCCTAGACATATGTCTAGTTTCCTAGTACTCAGGCATCTTCAGATGATCACTGGATCAAATGCAGCTAAAAATATTAGTGTAAAAATACAATGTTGCAGTGATTATTGTGACAGTAAAAGCAGTGTGGCATATGTTCTCTGAAGTACAAGATTAGGTACTTAACGTATACTATTTTATTAACTTTATATCTTCCATATAAAAATGCATGCATAGGGTTTTAAAAGAAGGGTTTTTTTAATAGACAATGTATTCCACAATTTTAATCCTTTCTTGTGTATTTTGTGCTAATCTGAGTTTGCAGTATGCTCACAGTATCAGCATCTTTTTGATTGCTTATGTAACAGTGCTTCTTTTACAGGACAGGTCTAATCCCTAATCTGATTCTATATTTAATCACAGGAACATCATGTTTTCAATTTCTGTGACCATTCATACAAAATTCCCTATTCTTTCCACAATGGAGGTGCACGAGAGAGAATCGTGATGAAGGAGAACTAATGGTTAAACATAACTAGAGCCACCAGACGTTATTACACATTCACCCACTACATAAAATGCATATACTAATATCATTGACCTTAGAGACAAAGCAGAACATGCATTTACAACTGTTTCTTCAGATGGAAAAATTCAAGCAAGCTTTCTTTAACATTTTAAAACACTTTGTAAATCACATTAATACATCCTCAAACATTGTTGGTCCTAATGCTGCATTTGTTCCCATTTGCTATAAAGAATCATAAGAAAGAAGTAGTAAGTGCTTCAAAAATGCATACATCTCTGCCTAAAGAACGTGTATTAGTGGCACATTTGTCATGGGCTCAGGGAGAAGGATGCAGCCTAAACCTCTACAGTCTGCAAGTGTACTGAATTCCAGACAAAATTTATTTGAAGCCCACTGAGACTTAGTGCAGCTGTGGAGCCTCCTCTCTTGCCCTCGCCCCAGCCTTAGCTTACACCCTACATGCAGCCTGGCATTGCCTCTCCTGCAATAGTGATTCTAGTCCTGCATCTGGATCAGGATCAGATCCTTACCAGACACCCGAAGCCTCTAACCCCAGTGCTATAATTTGTAAATGACTTACTAACAAGGGATTTTGAAAAACCCATGGGAAAAATTTAAGGTAGTGGCAAATGAACATATATCAACATCGGTAAAATCAAAGAATAAATATACCAAGACACAAACAGCAATCCCCCAGAAAGCAGGTCCTATTCTCCAAGTCTGCATTTCTGTGACAAATGCACAAATAAAGCATCACTTTATGTTGCTAACCATCTTGTTTGAAAAAAGTGTCTCGTGTTTCTTCTTTACAGCATTTCAGCCTTTTTGTCTTTGTAGATGTTCTAATATGTAAATGACCTTCCTCAGCCTCTTCAGAATAAAAAATAGATCTTTGGAATTGAAATTCTATTTATATTTATCATAACTTGATAAGAGGAGCGTGTGTTTATTTAAATACTCTACCATTATTTCTTCTTAACAACAGGCAGCTCTGAAGTGCAGTTATAAGTCTGTTTACACCACACAGATATCAAATTGACTTGCTAATGGTAACTTTTATTCGGTATCCATGGGTTACTGTGTCATGTGATTTGACATCAAGTACAGACAGTGCTGATTAGTAGCATCCAGTTCTGTCCATCTCTGTGCATCACTGAACCATCTGGTCATTTATTCACTAATAAGCCCCTAATGGCCCAAATATTCACCGGCCTGTCATTGTGACATGGCATAAAATGCCTACATCTTTCAACTTGCTTTGACATGTTGCTTGTTTCACATCAAAATCCGTCATTTACAGGAAAAGAGCTCAGAGGGGTAAAAACTTGACCTAATCTGCAGTGTTAACACAAAGACAGAGGCTTTGTTATCTGGTAGCCTGACTGAAAGCATGTAAATGGGCATGAATTCATTTTGTACATTTTTCCATGCTCATTTTACAACATTCTTTAAGTTTGGTATCGTTCCTAATATAGGTTTTTATGTGGGTTTTGCTGCGAAATCTCTTTTCTTTATCTGTTAATATTCTTAGGAGTGTTTTACAGGGAACTGGATGCCCAGAGACATTTGTCAGTTTTCTATAAGGAAAATGTGCATCAATGAAAATGTCATGAAAAGCCATGGAACTTCTTTAAACCCTTATTTAAAAATTAGTATGATTAACGATTTTTCTTTCTGTGTTTCTCTTATTTCTGACTAAACATCAAGAGCATAATACTTCCCACCCTGAAAGAGGGGAGATGCATTAACCATCTCATGTGCAGCATGTTGTATTTTGCAGAAGCTTTCTAGTTGAGAAAATCTCACAGGATATCATTGCACGGCAAAGTCAAACACATTATTACTTAAGGCTTTTGAATGCTTAGTAACTGAAAAATCTCTCTCTTCAGTCCCATCACACAAACCTGCTGAAGAAGAAAGAGGTCACAATCAATGCTTTATTTTTTATTTTATTATTTTTTTTAAATCTTACTGGATATAACCACAGTTAAAATAGTTTAAAAAAAGCAAACACCCATTAAACTAATTGCTGTTGAAATCTTGGTTAATACATCATTAAAATGTGATTAAAGCATGATGTAATTGATTGTAACTAGAACACTTAGGGTGGTTTTATAGCTCTGCAGTCATTGGTGTGATGGGACACATAATTCACCCAGTATGTTAGCTTCACATGATGTGTGCCTCTGTTGGCACACGAGCTTCTTGAAGCAAGCATACTCTGCTCAACAAAAACTTCCATTGTGTTGCCTTCTGGCTATTATACTGGTTTAAAGGTGATGACAACAACAACAAAAAAATATTTTAACCTGATAACCTGACAGAGCTTTTGTTTTGTTTTGTTTTCAAATAACTTTTTTTTTTTGTTTGTTTGGTTTGGTTTTGGTTGTTTGTGGTTTTGGTTTTTTTTTTGGCTCTAATTATATGTATGTTGCCAGTGGTAGTTCCTGTTAAAGACATGAACATCATTCAGAATAAATCCTCTGCCTGTGCAAGATAGTAAAATTTATCAGAGAATTCAGGTCAGCTAATGAATCAATCTGAATTTTGGCATCTTCATGCTGAGATTCAATCAAGTTTAAATTCATTTTGAAATAGTTAGTTTACAATGCTTACAATCAAACCCATAGCCCAGTCTGAGGATATGTACACAGAATTTAGTACAAGCATTCAAATATTTCTACTTTTTGATTATTCACTTTACCAATTCTTGCTGCAAAATGTTATTCTCAAGGGCATCAATAAACACATTCACTCCTGTCTTACAAGCTTGAGAATACCTCTTGCACTTGAACCCTGAGTGGGCTGAAAAACAATTGTGTTTTGTTACAACTGTTGAGGTTTTGAAACTGATTTTTATTCAACATTACAGCAAAAAACAAAACAGAGTCAAGTCAAGCAAGATATAAAATGGTATCTTTCTAACTCTTCAGTGGGCATCTTATTCATAATGTTGTTAATTCATTTTGCTCTAAAGAAAAATCCTATTCCATACAAAATCCTTTCGACAACATTTAATTCAAG